ATATGTCTGTGTTTCTATATTTTTAGTAGCTTTTTGTTGGGTACAGGGCATGGGGCATTATGCAGCAGGTAGACAAAAAAGAGGATGAGTGATGTTTTCTAAGACTAACACTGAAAAAACAAGTAAAATTGAAATAAAAATAAACGCAAAAGCAAAGAGTGATTGGTAATGAACCAAAGTGGCTTCAGGTTACCAGTACTCTTTTCCTGGCGATTTAGTTATGAAAGTGAGTTATGAAAGACTATGACAGTCTCCCTCTCTCTTCTCCTTCAGAGGGTTAGCATGCCTGGCTAGCTACTCTGTCCAAACTCTGCGCAGGTAGATTGATGTCAGAGCAACGGAGATACCCAAGTCCAGCGCCCACTTTAAGTCATTTCATACATCAGCTCAGAGAAGAGTCCTCAAAGTACCAGCCTTACAGGTTGCATCACACTGTAAATGTCCCTTATAAACCTTTTTTCAACCCTGTATTTTTCCAAGGATCGAGGAGAGATGAGATTTGTCTCTTAAGCGCCCTTGAAGGTGCTGCTGTTTGTAACACAATAGTAATTAGAGGCCCTGGTCAGGCTCAAGCCCCAGCATGTTGGGCACTGTACAAACATGGAGCAGAAAGCACTCTGCTTTTTGAAGATGGATTCACGTGCCCCTGCCACAGTCTGTGGAAAAAAGGATTTGCTATTGGGCATTGATGTTTCTCTATAGCAGGTGCATTAACTAAAATAAGTCTTGGGGAGGGCGAAGAACAATTATTTTCAGGTCAGAGCAATCTGAAAATGGCAAATAGCATGAGAAAACAGGCCCTTTAAGACCCAGATCTCAGGTACATTTATTTCCCTTTTGCTTCCAGCCCGGCCCTACTTACAGCTTTGTTTACTGCCCACAGGCATAGAGAGCGAGGCATCTGCACAGTGCACACGTACTGGTGGATAAATAGCAGCTTGCTGAGGTTAATCTTCTGCAGTGAGGGACTGGCCACATCCCCAGGAGACCTGATGTGTCACTTTCTCATGCACATTAATTCTGCGCATCTTCTGCTGGCCATAGAAATGGTATTTTTTTTCCTGCTTTCCACTGCAGTGTAACATTCGCCTTCTGAAATTAAGAGGTGACACTGCATTTCTGGTGAGTTTTCCTGTTTAACCCTTAGAACACTGGCATTCTCTAACGCTTCCTCCAGAAAGGCTGGCAATTTTTGTATGGGACTTTTGTGCAAAAGCAACAAATTGATCTGATGCATCCCCATTTTCACATTCCTATGGCTGGCTGGCTGGACAATGCCAGCGATAGTATTTAAATGGTATTGCATTCAGTACTGCACATTAAGACATGCTCTCAATGGGTGGTTTGCAACCTTATTAGACTCAAGGCACCCCTTGGAAATGCTAGCTCTTAGCTTTCACCCAGTTTTTGACTACAGAAAAATAGAGTGATGCTTCTGCTGCCAAGAACTCAGAAAGACCACAGGGGCTGTGTCCAGATGAGCATGGCCATGTGGTATGTGGTGCCATAGATATGTCTGTGGTGTCACATACCACACATTCTGCTGCTCTCCATGCTGCAAAGTAGCAGGTTTGTTTTGTTTTTTTTGATCCCAGGAGATCCCAAAGTCAAAAAAACCTGCACCAAAAAATTTAAAATAAAATATGGAGTGGTGCATACGGGGACAGTCCATGCTACCCAAAACTGGATCCTGACCAGTCAGAGCCACACTCCAGCTGCTGGCCACAGTCCGAGCGGCAGGATTGCCACTGCTGCAGCCCCAGGAGGCCCCACAAGATCCCAGGTAAGGCTGCCGGGGCCAGCCCAGTGCTGACTCCAGCCCCCCCTCCCCTACCTGCCACATGCCAGAGGGTGTGTGGCACAGGCATTCCCTGGGGACAAGTAGCAGCGGCAGAAGGTGTGCTGCTGTTTCTTGTCCCTGGGGAAACAAATGTCCACGCTCTCATGGACACAGAATGTTCTTGACACCATAGATTCCCACTGAATACTATCCCTTGGTTTATTTTGTGAATCATGTTGGTGTTTGCACATGTAACAGTTGCGTGACACCCCACAGCACCCTTAAAAGCATATCAGGGCATTCCAGGGTGCCATGACACCCTGGTTGAGTATCATTGCTCTAAATACTGACACAGACCTATGGTGCAGCTTCAGAAGAGCCCAGAAGGTCCCTTCTGCTCTTCCCAACATCTTTTGAGAGGCAAGGCTCACACGTGGACAATGCAAGGCAATGCTCCAGTAATACAAAGATCACATCTTGCTAAGGTCACACCTGTACATTAAGTGTATGATCTTTGGATCATGCACACATGACTTCTGCATTTTCTTGGTGTGAGCCCACTACAATTTCCTTCTAAAGTCCCAGCTTCTTTCCATCCCCAGTGCCAGAGATGATTAGTGGCTAGGTTTCTCCCTGCCACCTAAGCCCTGATCCCTTCCTCTCCCTCACTCTCCTGCCATTCCTGGACCTAGCAAAGAAATGCTGATCCAATATATCATGAAACCATTTATAGCAGTTCACAACCAGGAATGGGCAAATATCCTGGCTAACCATCCCTTCAGTCAGGCACTGCTAATCACATGAATATGATATCGCCTCCACCCTCTGCATTTGTATTTGTCAGCTATTGCCCAAGACTTTTCAAGCAATAACCTTTCAAAGCTGTGCCACCTTGGAAAACTCATCCATTCTGCTTGGTAATACAATGTAATAAAGGAAATACTGAAAAGTGCAAATGTACAGTAGCATAATTTACTTACTGCTTCGTTTGTGAGAATACACCCTTCAGGGCCTTCCATTAGCTCTTTGATCAAGTATAATGGGATTAGTTTTCAGTTATGACTCTGCAAAATGCAGTCTCGGCTTAGTGCCTTTCACTTCTCTAAAGGGATTGTGCATGGGAGGTGCAGCCCTAGAGACACAGTATATTTATTTGGAAAAGATTGGGAGGGAGATGGCTGACTGCTACTATAACTGCTGCTCAAGCCCAGGCATCATTATTGTTGAGCTGCGTTCACATCGTTGTTCTGCTGCGGCTTCTGTCCAGCTCCACTCTGCCTAAGGTGAGCGTTTGCAGACTCTGATTTGGGCTTTAATAGGACAAGGGAAGGAGAATGGTCTATTAATGGACTAAAGTTTTAAACAAATGACTTTACCCCCAGTTTCTGTTTCCTGCTCGGTTTATGTGACTATTCTTACAAACATGCTTGTTGCACCTGGACTAATACTGAAGAAAATTGGCCAAAAATGCAGATTTTTAACTTGCCCCATGTAACAAGTGATCATTTCAGCTGTTGTTAAAGCCGCTTTGCATCATCAAGAATTTGGCCCCAAAATATTACACTTGCTCAACCAAGCACTAGAAACCTGCCATGTGACCTCTCTATCCTATCACAACTCACATTTTAAAGGAGCTGTTTGTGAAATAACTACAAATGGAGGATCGTTCAGTGGTGATCTCCAATAGCAGCTGAATCTGAATTTCACGGTTCTGCTCTGGATCACAACAAAGAGAAGCAACGTTCATTGGCTGCACTAAACACACTCAAAACCCACTAAACCCATTCTCCTGAGCCCCTCAGATCCCATTGACTTAAAGGTGTGGAGGGAATTCAGCTCAAAACAAAATGGAGCTTTATGTAAGTATGATTGATAATCATGGCTCTGATATGGGCTGGGGATGAGGATATGTGCTTGCCTGGCCGATTCCATAGTATTTTTTACCAGCCAACAGTTTTTTACCAACCTACCGCCCAGAGGAGAAAGGGGATTCAAAGCAACTTTGCATCATTAAGTGGAGAATGATGATGGCCCCAGCATGGGCCCCAACGCCAACTTGTGCCCATGGCGATGTCTGGAGCAGAGTATATTTATCATTGTTACAGGCTATTATTTATCTGCTTGAAACCTATCTTGGCCAGCCATGTACTGTGGTCAATGGTTGCTGAGTACGTTGAAGGAAGAGAGATGGCAAAAAGCTGGGCTGTTTCCTGCAGCACGGCTGAACTTTCCTGCCTCAATGCAGCAGAAAACAAAACAAAACTCCCCAAATAAGCAAAAAAACCCCCCTCAATAGCCAAGAAATTGGAAACCCAGACTAGAGAAAATGATCAGTTGGTCAGGAGTTTTTTGCTAAGTTGGCTCCTTATAGGACTGTTGTCTGCAGGCACAATTTCTCCTAACAATCCTCTCAGCTGTTGCAGACGATAGACACATATTCTCCCTTCCCCTTCTTCTGACTCCTGCATAGGGCTTGGCCTGGCTGCAAGCATTTGTTGGCAAGTATTTGTTTAATTTTTAAATGTGTTTGCTTCAGCTCTATCCTGTAAGGTCGGAGGTAACAGTTCTTATACACCTAGAGCATACGATGCATTTCTCATTCTCGCTGGCTTTTATGTGAGGCTGTAGAAATCAAGAAGCAAGGAGGCAATAACTGTGTGGGTGCCCTCTCTCTTTATGGTCCAACTTGGAGTTAGTCTGTTGACTTCAGATTTGGATCAAAGTCCCCCTCAGAGAAAAGGAATGTAATGCAATGCTCCATGTGTGAAATGCAACACAAAATGGCAGCTGCCCCATGGAGCACGGGAGAGCTCTCTGCACTTGAAGGTGCACTATAGAGAAAATCGAATAGCAGCGTAACCTTTCAGTTCCATAGCAACCTGCTCCTGTGTGCCTGTGCTCTTGGCTTCCCCATTACCTCCATGCTCTCGGAGTATTAGCTCTGCTTCTGAGCATCATTTCTCTCAAACTACATTTGCTTATGCTGCAGCTTTTAATTATTTAATCAAAACACCCTTATGCTGCTCAATCAGGTTTTCAGAAACATCAGCATATGCTGAGAGAGATAAAATGTGCAATGTGAACTCACCATTTCTTAGCATGCTGTCACAGTGACCCAGAACAGCAAAGAAGTAATTATTTTGCTTAACATCTCGGAGATAGCTAGCTGGCTTTACATTTTTTCCCCTCCTCTCTTTCCATTACAGGACTGTTGATCAAGTTCAGGCTGTGCATTGTACCCCTTAGGCTGGAACAGCCAGAGATACAACAGGCATGTGGGAATGTCTCCAATCAATATCAATTAGGTAAGGCAGTCTTGGAAAGGAGAATGTCCAATAGTTAATGGGGTATCTGGGGTTGCATACACATGGCCTCCAATAAATCATCTTCTGAGTCCTTAACAATAATGATGATGTTATTCTTCCAAGCAAGTACCTTTCTGGCCAGTGAGAAACAGCTATCGTAGCTGTTGTCAGTGTTACGGGTCCTATAACCCCTCTGTGTTCTGTTTTGCTGAAAGTTGATTAGAGAGGTACCATCTGGCTGGATTGCTAATGATCTCCTGTGATGACTGGTGAATCGGATTTCCTCTCAGATAGAGCTAGGCATAGCTGTGTCTCTGAAAAAATCAGGTCTGGGGCACTGCTTTTCATGACTAGTATCATCCTATTGTGCTAGGCGCCCTCTAGCTAGATACAGGTAGTTTAGTCTTGTTATCTGAAGTTAGGCAGGAGACAGTGCAGGGTGGCACTGTAAAGATGAAGGGCCTTGTTAAACTGTAATTTTAGGGGACTACTGGAGCTCTTAACCCCTGGATTGGCTGCATGTTAACACCTTTATGTAGCTTAAAGCACTTGTTATTTGGCTCAAAGTTGCACCATTTTAGGGCAGGATTATCTCTAATCAGCATAACTTTCTTCCTGTTCCATGAAGGTGTGGCCACTCCGCACAGCTGTTCCATCCAGACTGAGGTCTTTCAGTGTCCAAGGATGCAGTGGCCCCTTCCCGTCTTCCTGTTCTGCAAGTCAGGGTGAGTGGGGAGGCTGGGGTGCAGTGGAGCCAGGTACGGTGCCTTGACTCTCGGGTACATCGGGCAGAATGAGCACTGCAGCCTTGGAGCAGCTGGCACCCGCAGTGCCTCCCGTGTGGTCCTCTCCCATGGCCAGCAACCCCACCTCCCCAGGTACCTCAGCCTCTGTGTGCGTCAGGTCCTGGCATCAGCTGCGGGTGCCAGGGATGCTTCCAACTGGAATCTTGATCCCCAGGTATCCAGGTGTACCGTTTTTGCCTGAGGCTCTGCACAGGTCCTAGTCCTGCCCCTGCTCACCACTTCTCTAGTGGCAAGTCACAGTTGTGCAGGTGAAGGACAGTCAGAAAAGGTTTTTTGCTTTAAGATACCCCGCTAAACCAAAACAACACTAAGCCGATTAACTTTTGTGTGGCTTTTAGCGTAAGGTGTAACAAGCCCAAACTCATTCAGAAAGGCATAAACTTTTGTAGGCTACAGCCTGCTTTGTGGTGTGTAGACAGGCCAGTTTATGTAGCAGATTACAGGCCACTTCTTCACCCTTGGGCTCCTTTGCACTGCTGCAGCAGCAGAAGTGGTGAACTCTATACAACATACAACTCTAGCTAATGTACGACACTTTGGGCTCCAGAACACCAGAGACATTATTCCTGTTCAGTGTAAAAGGGCATCTTTTGTTCCTTTATGCAGTAATTCAACAAAGAATTACTCATTTCACTCTAAGTGCCATTGATTTCAGTGGGACTCAGACACATACTTAAACTTAAGCACACACTTAAGTGCTTTGCTGAACCAGGCCTTTTGGGTTGAACGGCCGTGGATTGCTAACTACAAAACACCTCCATCCAGGAACCACTTCCTCTCACAGGATTCTCAGCAGGGGCCCCACTGAGGCTTTTCAAAGGCTGAGAAAGGATCAGGAATACAAGGAAAGGAGACATTGAGCAAAACCTAGCTCAGGAGGAGCAGTGCAATGGAGCAGTCCTCCTGACAGTGGGGTTACTCTGTAAGCTGTCTTCAGCTTCCTTGCATGCAAAGTGCTTTCAACATCAAACACAAGGAGAGAGCTGGGGAAGGGAGGGAGGAGGAGAGTTTAGCTGGCAGAGTATTTCCTTTCTTGCTGACTCTCCTGAGATAGCAATATGCATGGGCTGTAGAGGCACGATGCTCATGTCGAATTGGTTGAGGCCAATTAGGGATGATCAAAGTGCCCCTCCTAAGTATTCTAGCCTACAGCTTTATTTTTCTTAATCAAATTAAACCATAAAAATAACATTTATCATGCTGCCTGTGGCTCTCGGAAGTGCAACTGCTCAAAATTTCTCTAGCTGATGTCAGATATGGGTCTGATCCTGTTCTTTGGAAGTCTTTGAACCCATCACCAGCGTATCTGAGCTTCTAAGGAGATGGGCAACTGTGGAGCCACTGTTCCAAGGTAACTGTCTGGCCTAAATTGCCCTGTTGCAGCTTATACTTACCACAGGATAAGAGCAGGCAGACAGGCAGTTATCCCCCATCAGCTGTTTTGCAGTAAATCCCCTTCCTTTTTTACCTCGCTCTGCTTTGTTCATTTCATCAGAACATGAATGAAGAATCTCCTTACCCTAAAGTAAAGTGATTCTTCAAAAAGTGCTCATAGAGAAAAGGGCGCTCTCAGCTTCCTTATGAAATCTGCTCAGTTTGAAAACAAAAGGAATGGATTTTCTCTATTGCTCCTAGATGGAGAAAGCTCTAGTAATTATCTTAGCATGCACAGGAGTGAGGTCCCTGATCCCCAATGAGTGGCGCTCAACTTTCCATTGACGAGCTCTCTGAGATCCCTTAGAAGCCCTTGGCACCAGTCTTTATTGGAAGCACCTGGCTTCCTATGCACATGGAGCGCAGAGTCTTTTTTTGCACAGCCTGAAAGTAGCCATATTTTAAAGTCCAGATTCATTTCTGGAGGGAGGAGAAAGAATGCATATTATGTGATTTAGTTGTATATAAAGCAAAGCTATGTTCATGTAACATACTGGTTTAGAACTTAGAGGCATAAAAGTCATCAAAATCCAGAAGTCAAGAGGACGTGGGCATTCTTACATCCATGGGACTGCACATGTAGACTCTGGGCAAGCACAAGAAAAAAAGATGAGCTGATGCTTGTGGTTGACTGCTTTTATTTTTAAATTTGTCTTTAATTGGAAGGATACAGCCTGAGCAACTCAGGGGCCCAACTTCTCTGAATGTTTAAGATGCTCCCTTCGCAATGGGCTTCTGAGCATTGATTTCTCTAGCTATTGTGCTCTGAATTGCATTTGGGGCTTGGTATCCTCTCTGCCTTGACCTTTCCTCCCTTTGTTTCCCAGGCACTCGCAAGACTTTTCAAGTCAGCCACTGGCTGCCCAGTTGTGTTTTTAGTTGGTGCTTCAGGCAGTTGTCCAGACAGAGCACTTAGTTATGGAAGTATATTTCTTCCTTAGAGTGGTTGTAACCTTTGAAACAGCTGGGGCAGAGAGAACATGCACGCAGCTGACAAATGGGCTGTTCTGAGTACTTGGAGCACTTTTTGTTCTGGCAGTAGTGTCACTGGGCCCAGCCATGTTGTCATTGCTCTCTCCCTCCAGTCAGGCCATAGGGAAGGCAATAATGTCCCCCTTGGGAATGCTTCTGTGCTGCTGCTGCTTCTTGTGGCCTTGTTGTAAACTCGATGTTTTTCCAGAATTGTGCACAAATGATGGCTCTTTTTGTTGCTGCAGCAAGGCCCTCCTTCATACAGGTCTCACCAAGGAGTTGCCAAATGAGCAGGTGCTCCACAGTCTGCACTTCACTGCGCTCACATGTATTTGTGTTATTAGAGTAGCCCCATCTGATCACGTTTGCTTTTGATCTTCAGGCTTGCAGGAGCAGCTGGTACAGATATCACCATGTTGACCTGTCTGTATCAGCCCCTCTGGAAAGGTCCTCCTAGGCACGAACAACACATGGCCCCGGAGGCTGGGGGGGGCACGGCGACTGCCTCCAGGTGGTGGTGAGCAGGGAGCTCCCTTAGGCGGCCGTGGCGGTGGTGGGGGGTTGGGGAGCACTGACTGGCAGTCAGCGACCACCCACAGACACCGCCAGTGGCCAGCAGCCATCGGGGACTGCCCACAGATGCAGCCAGAGGTGGCAGGGGAGGGTGGCACGTGGCAACCGCCTGCAGGCACCACCGGCAGCGTCAGCAGCACTTTTTGCAGCGGGTGCACTGCCCATCTCAGGGGGTGCGTGTACATCCCCTCCGCATCGCCAATGCTCCTGGGGTTCCAGGCCATTTCAGGGCATCTGGTTGCATGTAATCTTTCTTTCTATAACCTCAGCTGTACCCTGTCAGTCAGAGTGTTGAAGGGCGCAACACTGGTCACAGACCCTTTCGTGCTTTAAGCTGTTTGGTTACTTGTGTGTGACCATAGAGTGAATACCTGAGGTCTTCCATCTGCTGTGATCTTTCTTTTTGGCTTGTTATCTTTCTTCTGATATCAGGTGGTGCAATGCCAGCCAATAAGTGCAGGCTATCCTTTGGTGTCAGCTTTAGACATCCTGTTATTTCATGACAGCTATCATTTAGAACCGGGTCTAGTTTCTTGGCATGAACTGATTGTTCCCATACTGGACATGCATGCTCTGCAAGGGAGTAACACAAGGCAATAGCAGTGGTTTGTAATGTAGTGGGGTTCGCTTCCCACTTCGAGGTGACTGACTTGCAAAGTATGTTGTTGTAGGCGCTGATTTTACCTGTTATCTTTTCCACATGTGCTTTGAAGGTAAGTATTTGGTGCAATGTAGCCCCCAAGTCCACAGGGTTCAGGTGTTCAGGCAGTGCAATTCCATTCCAGGTGATGTTTAATTTCTGCTTGGCTTCTCCATCATGCAAGTGAAAGGCTGTAACCTGCATCTTGGCTGGGCTGGTGCAAAGCTGGGTCTCTGAAGGACAGAGCTTGCTTTGCAGGGGTCTGGGATGCAGGGGCATTCCAGGCAGAGAGCAACAGCAGTCCCCTGCCTCCCACCCAGTTCAGGGGGGAGCAACGAGGGGACTTTGTTCTCATTTGTGTTGTGCCTTGTCTACAGATTAGAAAAGGACTTCAGTCTTTGGGGCCATCTTCATGTCCCATTTCCCAAACAGCGATTGATAAGCACATTCAGAAAAAGCTGTGGTTTAAAGAGAGAGCCCGGGGGCGGGGCAGCGGAGGGGGTCTGCCCGGCTGTGGCATGCCATACTCCTGCCACCTTTCTTGGGAGCACTCGGTGTTTTACACTCCCCCACTTCTGTAGCCACTGTACCATTTTAATC